AGAAATTATACTTAAGTTCGATTGTAATTATTCAAACTCTAAAAAATTGAATATAATCTAATTAATCTTGATTCATCATAGAGAAAATAATTATTAATTCATTGTAAAGAAAATAATTATTGATTTGTAACGTGATTGAGAATCTAAAGACTACAAAAAAAAAAAAAAAAAAAAAAAAAGAGAGAGAGAGAGAGGAGAGGGAAAATGACCACAAATAATTAAGCAATTCAATTAATATATATTCACATCAAAATCAGAATACCAATGAATGAAAATTATAAAATCAGAAAATCAATTTATCAAGATCAGGGTAAATTGAAACTCATCAAATTGATCAAATTATAAATTCAGAAACAATTACAAACTCAGCCAAAATCAAACCTAATTAAAACTAAATATAAACAACACAAAAACTAACCTTCATTGATGATCTCATTATGATGAATGATGCAAAGAACGGAGGAGAGAGAAAATGTCAAATGAAAGAGAAGAAAGAGGAAAGAGAATATATCGAATGAAAGAGGAGAGAGAGGATCGAGAGAGAAAATTGAGATCAAAATTATTATTATTATGAAAGTGAAGAAAGAGAATCATAAAAAAGGAAAGAAATTTTAAGGAAGAAGACTACTGATGCGTTTCATTTAGTATTAGCTGCGTTTGAGGGGTTATGCAGCTAGCTTAGCTACATAAGCATGCAAGCTAAGAATTTGCCTTAGGCCCTGTTCACTTCACCTTAAAAAAAATAATATTCAGTAAAACTTATTTCAGTTCAGTAAAAATAAGTCCAGTTTCAGTTCAGTAAAAATAATTTCAATTCAGTAAAAATCAGTAAACCTAAAAAGAAATACAGTATAATAGAAAATCAGTAAAAATAATTTCAGTTCAGCAAAAATAATTTCAGTTCAGTAAAATTAATTTCAGTTTAGTAAAAATAATTTAAGTTCAGCAAAAATAATTTAAGTTCAGTAAAATAATTTCAGTTCAGCAAAAATAAGGTGAAGTGAACAGAGCCTTAGTATGGAACCTCCTTAAACCTTGTTTGTGGACTGGACTCTCCTCTTTCTTATTTTGGTTGCCTAGACACTAGGCCCGTTTCATGTGTACACCTTCACCACTACTCCATCTGTCCCTATTTTTTTGCCACAGAGGTAATATAGCCATGTTTATATATTTTATTAATATCTAACTTTATAAAAATTTTACACATGAAATGAAAATATAAACTCTTTTAGACGTGCCTTAGAGACCGTAAAAAGTCAAATGGGTAAAAAAAAAAATAGAGACAAAAGGAGTAGAAAGTATAGGGGTTATTGGTTGATTTCAACGTAAACAATACTTCGTAATAATATTACCAATTCTCTTCCATTATTTTATAACCAAAAGTAATTTTTTTTTTTTTTTTTTTAAATTTTATTTTATTTAATCTTGACTAGAAAAACATTCAAGTAATCCGTAATATTCTTTTGAAACTAGTGATACAAAACCACTTATTGGTGAGAATAATGATAATTAATAAATTCAAACTAACAAAACATTGGGTTTAACCTTTAAAAAATTCCTATTGACAGTGGGATTCATTCCAAGCTTGACGGGTATTTTATACGTTTATTGAAATGGTCCAAGGATGATGAAGCTCGATCGTAGTATAATAGAATTTGCTCCATTAATTAAATATATGAAGCAGATTATGAACGATGATGTATTGATAATATATGAAGATGGTGCGTACCCTATTTTATCACCTTTTGTATGTTTATACACTTGGATGATTAAATTTATCTCTTCCTTTCCATTTTAATTTATTTGTACTAGCTCTCCATGAAAACTACCGCGGGGGATTATTGTAGTATGTTCAGATGTTTTAGTAAAAAAAAAAAAAAAAAAAATTAAAGAATTTAACGTGCATGAGAGATTTTTACAAGGGAACTTTCCATAATGACCTAAATGGAAAGAAAACCTTGATCCATTTAGGGATTTTCTCTAAAGTCTAAACTCTTTCTAGTATAATATGACAACCTAATAACCGCTCAATTTTTTTTATTTTCCCTACAAACTCAAGTTCATAGCAGTGATTCAATTCCCTCAAATCATTGCGCATTTGTACTCACTCAAAGTCTAATTACAATATGAGTTCTTAAAAAAAATTATTATGATTCACAAATTTGAATATGAATTTTTGAGCTTGGGATAAGAGTTTGAGTATGAACTCTTATTTGTAATAATAATTAGACTTGCAGTGGTGTAAAGTAGTTGTCGAGAGAATACTTTAGTTGAAGTAGTCAGCCAATTGTTGAAATTGAGACTATTTGTTTTAATTCGGCCAATTGTTTGTTTAGTTAGGGGTTTTGTTATTAGCCTTTTCATGAATTGAACTTGGTGTACCACCTAGTTCCTCCTCCTAACGTAAAATCAAGAATGATCATGTTAAGATATTATTTTGTTCCATCATCAACCTCAATCTCCAAATGGACTGCAAATCAACTTGAATTGGGTTAGAGGGTTAGACAAAAGAGAGGTCTCTCTCTCAAATTGTTTCTAGTGTGAATCCATACCTTTTAAAAAGTTTTATAAATAGTGTTTGGACAATTATACCCTCTAAATATCTATTTACTTATTTGCCCTCATTCATTTAATTGCTTTTTTAAAATTGAAATTCAAAGGATATTGTGCGGATATCTATACCCCTAACATATTTGTTTATCTATTTTCCCTCATTAATGCTGCCAACAACTAAGTTGTGAAATAAGGCCAAACTGATATAGCTCTCCGGACATGGCTAGCTATGACACTCACATCATGTGTGTTAGCCACCCTTGTAGTGACAAAGGTGCAATTGTTACAATAATTAAATAATAAAAGAAATATGATTAATAATTAAATTCATGTTTAAAAGTCGCATACCAAATTTCCTTCTTACTTCAAGGGGTCAACGGGCCGATTAGGGAATCAAGCCGTTTAGGGGAGTTTGAAGTTGACCTTCTTTATATGGACAACATTTCAATCATTAGTATAATTTCTTATATTTATTCTACTATTTGAATTTTGGAATTAGTGGGAATACATGATTAAAGTGTCGGAACTTTGAAGTAAACTGAATAATTAATTTTATAATTGAAATGAAAATATACGAAAGAAGATACGATACAATGTTTCTGTTGTATGTATTGGTGGAACGCATGAAGAACGTGACCATCTAATTAGATTATTGTCCCAAAGAGTGACGAATATAAGTGCTCCTACTAATTACCAACTAGTTTGTCACACCTTTTCAAGCTAATCATTACCTAAACTATACTATTTCTACTTAAAATTTAGGTCTTGTTTTATGTTTAGCATTTGTGGAACAGAATCTTTTACATAGATTATGCTAACCACTCACTTATATTGTTCGTTAAATGAAAAAAATGCACCAAATATTATCCAAAATGGGTAAGTTGACATAATGAATGAGTCACTTCCGGCTAGGGATGGGCCTAAATGGAATCTGGCCGCTAACCTTTTCACGTGGTTTGGACCCTACCCAACCCATATGGTTTTAAGTATCCAAATCCACATCATGATCTGACGAGTCTAGCGAGTTTAAGGTCTAAACGGATCTACAATAACGAGTCTTTAACTAAATTATTAAAATGTTTTAGGTCTCCAATTGAATTTTAATTTGTTCATTTTAAAGATGTCCACTCGGTTCACCGAATCTTAGCTCTGACTACATTTGGATCTGACCCGCGTCACACACCTAGCTTATGGTGGGCGAGTCTCCCAATAAGAGTTTCTGCATACAGTGAGACTCGAACCTGAGACTTCCTAAGCGACATCAAATTGCTTATCACTTGAGCCAACTCTTGTTGGTTAATTTGTCCATTTATTATACTTAAGTGCAATAAATATTTTAAAGTGACAAATTTATGTCAACTATCATTTACTATCATATTCATGCTCCAAAGATTTAACTTGGAAAATTTGGTTTTTAATAATTTTATCTTTTGCTAATCTTCTTTTAACTAGGGCGGCTAATACGCGCGCCATAGCTAGTCATGTTCGGAAGCTCTCATTCAATTTGACTTTATGTCACAAATTTAGTTGTTGGGATCATTAACGAGGGAATATATGTAAACAAATATTTTTATGATATAAATGGTCCCACACTTTATTAAAGAGATAATAAGGAGGTAATTAACATTAATGAGGATAGATTGGTGATAAACATTTTAAAGAGTATAATTGTTCAAACACTATTCATAAGAGTTATCTCAAACTTGTAAAGGTAGTGAATAGTGATGATAACATCAACTTTGGATTATTATGGAGTAATCCCAACTTTAGAAGATATTGACTTTTATCAAGCGATCAAGCCCAAATGACTGGTGACCTTAGCTGAAACACTGGTTAATTTTTTTTTAAAATATTGTCACGTGTGACATGCCATTAAGAGTGGGGGAAGAGCTTAGAGTGGTTTCTTAAGTGGAGGAAAGGGAGGGGGTGGTTTTCGGGGAGGGAGCCGGGAAAGGGAAGGGGCCGGTTCTTGGGTAGGGAGAGGGAGGGTGGTTGTTTCTGGGGTGGAGGAAAGGGAAGGGATGGTTTTCAACAAAGTGTAAAAATTGCATAGTTTGATTAATTTTTTCATTAATTTTGATTTTTACTTTTTGAGGAATGATTTTGAATTCATTAATTAGGTCTAAGCACGAAACAATGCATATTTTATATGTGAGAAATTGCATATTTTGATTATTTTTTTCATTGATTTTGACTTCATTGATTAGGTCTAAGCATTAAACAATCTCGTCTAATAATAGTTATAGATCCGAGAAATACTGAATGTTCAAAGGTTGATTTTAACTAAAATAACTTGAATAATTTTGACCAAAAACTTTACCTTACTTAAAATGACCCAAAGTCATGGATTGAACTTGAACATAAGGTAATCAGATGAGACTACATAAATTCATATCAGATCAGATAAATAAAAGTAAGGTGAACTAAACAATAAACTGAATAAGTGAAGTGATAGAATAAGAACGTAAGATTAGATAAAGCAGAGCAGCAGCAACTAACAACCACGGTTACCATAACTAACTAAACAATGCTGACCATCGGAGTAGCACCACCTTCATCTCCCCGCTTATCAATGGCGCCTGTACTTCAACCACCGTGCATGTTAGCATCCACCAGAGCTTCATTTCTATCGCCATTCGTAGGGTTAGGGTTTCAAATTCCGAAATTCACCTCAATTATTTCTCCCAAAATCCAACGCCTTTCCATTAAAGCTTCCAGAACTGAATCCACGGGAGTTTCCTTAGGGTTTCGAGCTCCTGATTTTCAGGTTTTTTTCTTCCCCAATTTACGAATTCTCTCTTCATTTTTGTTCCTTCTTTTAATTTGTGCAATTTTGTAATTTTTTTGTTTTTTTCCGGCGCAAATTAGCTTCCGGAGCCATTAACGGGGAAGACATGGACATTGCAAGATTTCGAAGCTTATCCGGCATTATTGGTGAACATTCATCCTCTTTCTCTCTCCTACTTTTTAATTTTGTGGTTTTGTTGTGTGTTATAATTGTTAATTTTAGTAATTGCTGAATTTTTATTAGTTTGATCGAATTATGTTGTTTTTAATGTTGTAGAATATGTAAATTTAACTGGCAGAATTGATAATTGTAAGATAAAGATTATCTGGTTTTAATATATGTGAACTGAACTGGCAGAATTGTTAATTGTAAGATAAAGATTATCTGGTTTTAATATATGTGAACTGAACTGGCAGAATTGTTTCTAGTTTGAAGATGGATTACATTTTAATTTTTTTTTTTATTTTTTTTGGCTGTGTGATGTGGAGTGGTTGATAAATTTGCTAATTGCTCAAAGCCGGATTTATTTTCTAACCGTTAAGATTATGTGTTTTGACGAGTGATGTTCAAGTGTTTAGCTGGTGGAATTATTACTTGTTTGGAGATTTTCTTTTTTAATTTTTATTTATTTTTGGTTGTTTGGCATCATGAATATGCACAAATAGTTTTTCTATGTATTTGATTGATTGCATGGTTAGATAGTAGAGGGGGGAAAAATACTCTGATCCTTCTGAACAGGCCTTTCCTAGCTTATATGTGAAAATGTCGTCTGTCTCTCTGTTGAAATGCCGCCGAAGAGAGGAATAAACAAAGGAATCTAAGTGTGAATGGAATATCTAAAAGTAGGAGTTTTCTAAGAGCACCATGTTGGGATATTGATTCAAACGTTAGTTTGTTAGTCAATGTATGGCACACTTAGTGGCTAAGTATTAGGATTAGTTGATGTTAATATTTATCTTTTTATTAGAATTATTTATGGGTCAAAGTACGTGGTTTCAGTTAGTAGAGTTTGTTAGTGGGATTTTGTTAGTGGCCCTTGATTTATTGATCATGATAGATCATGGGTTAATGGGTCCTATTTTTAAGGTAATTGTTATTTTTTCTAGCTATATATTAAACCAAATGTACTTGAGAATTAGTGTATGAGATATTAATAATAGTTTGTGAGTATGTCATTCACTTCCTTGATTCATTTTTCCTTCTTTTATATTTCTATTAATAGCTTCAACATGGTATCAAAGCTAATCCAAGTTCGATCCTAAGCCAAAAACACATTAAAAAGAGAGTCGTGAGTGTTTTATTAGTGTTTGTCGTAGTATTTTTTAAAGTTAGTTTTGTGAGTGAGTAAGTATGACAAATGGTGGTATAAACTCGTCGTCGCAGCCTTTAATTCCCATGTTTAAGGGTGAAAATTATCATCTATGGTGTCTCAAGATGAAGACTTTGTTTAAGTCTCATGAGTTATGGGATTTGGTGGAGTATAGTTATGATGAGCCAAACCCGGCATGGCACACTTAGTGGCTAAGAATTAGGATTAGTTGATTTTAATATTTATATTTTTATTAGAATTATATATGGGTCAAAGTACGTGGTTTCAGTTAGTAGAGTTTGCTAGTGGGATTTTGTTAGTGGCCCTTGATTTATTGATCATGATAGATCATGGGTTTAATGGGTCCTATTTTTAAGGTATTATTGTTATCATTTCTAGCTATATATTAAACCAAATGTACTTGAGAATTAGTGTATGAGATATTAATAACAGTTTGTGAGTATGTCGTTCACTTCCTTCATTCATTTTTCCTCCTTTTATATATCTATTAATAGCTTCAACATGGTATCAGAACTAATCCAGGTTCAATCCTAAATCAAAAACACATTAAAAAAGAGTCGTGAGTGTTTTATTAGTGTTTGTCGTAGTATATTTTCAAGTAAGTTTTGTGAGTGACTAAGTATGACAAATGGTGGTATAAACTCGTCGTCGGAGCCCTTAATTCCCATGTTTAAGGGTGAAAATTATCATCTATGGAGTCTCAAGATGAAGACTATGTTCAAGTCTCAAGAGTTATGGGATTTGGTGGAGTACGGTTATGATGAGCCAAACTCGGCACCGGCTATTCCCGATCAGCAATTGCGGGAAAATCGTAAGAAATATGCAAAGGCTCTATTGTTCATCCAATCGGCATTGGATGATGAGATTTTTCCACGAACTTCCGCTGCGTGAACATCCAAGCAAGCATGGGAGATCATCAAACAAGAGTATTTTGGTGATAAGAAGGTAATTGCTGTAAAATTACAAACTCTTCGTACTCAATTTGAGAGTTTAACAACGACAAAGAAAGAATCTATTCAAGATTATTTGTCTAAAGTGTCCTCAATTATTAGTCAAATGAAAATATATGGTGATAATATCTCAAATGAGACAATCGTGGGCGAGGTATTAAGGTGTTTGAACAGTGATTATAAGCATATTGTGACTGCAATTTTAGAGTCTAAGGACATATTAACTTATACATTTGATGAGTTGATGAGTTCTTTGATGGCTCATGAGGAGAGAATGGATACGTGTGCTGATGAAAGTGTCGAAGAGAAAGCCTTTCAAGTTAGAGGAAAATTGTCGGATGATTGGCAGTATGATGAAGGTCGTGGTCGTGGTCGCGGTATGGGTAGTCGAGGTCGTGATGGAAGTGGTCGTGGTTATGGTCGAGGTTGTGCAGAAAGTGGTCGTGGTCGATTTGAAGGACGACAGTCTATGATGAGTAGCATTCAATGTTACTATTGCAAGAGGTACGGTCACAAAGAAGACCGTTATTGGGATAAACAAAGAGATGAGCAAGGTGGTGAACAAAGCAACTATGCTCAAAAGGTCGAAGAAGAAGAGAGCAAGCTCTTCTAAAGTCGAGTCAAATGTGCGGTTACGAGTTGTCGAGTTAAAGTCGTGTTTGCATATTCGTAGTCGTGGCTGTTTGTATCTTGGCAGTCCGTAGTCGAGTTCAGTAAGTTTGAATTAAGGGGGTGTGTTGGGATATTGATTCAAACGTTAGTTTGTTAGTCAATGTATGGCACACTTAGTGGCTAAGTATTAGGATTAGTTGATTTTAATATTTATCTTTTTATTAGAATTATTTATGGGTCAAAGTACGTGGTTTCAGTTAGTAGAGTTTGTTAGTGGGATTTTGTTAGTGGCCTTGATTTATTGATCATGATAGATCATGGGTTTAATGGGTCCTATTTTTAAGGTATTATTGTTATCTTTTCTAGCTATATATTAAACCATGTGTACTTGAGAATTAGTGTATGAGATATTAATAACAGTTTGTGAGTATGTCGTTCACTTCCTTGATTCATTTTTCCTTCTTTTATATTTCTATTAATAGCTACAACACGCCAGTCAACCAGATCAAAAAATAATGCTAGGAGCTGGTAAATGATGATTTATTTATTTAAAACAAGAGATAAAGATACTCGTCATTATTTTTTTTCTGTAAGCAACAGATATATATTGTTAAAAATTTTAGACAATATAAACTTATAATGATTTTTGGACAATGTATATAGGCCTTTTGACATTACATAACGATCTTCTTATAGGATGATGTGTAGTTGACATTGTCTAGCAGTTGCTATTGGTTGATTAGGATGCATGCTATGTCCTAAAGGGTTGCATTCCTCGTCCCGGATACCACTCAGCTTTGCATATCCAGTATCGAACAATGAAATTCAAGTTCAACCTCAACATCAGTATGAGTGTTAAAGTTTTTTCCTTGGAGTAAGGAAAACATATCTAGAAAATCTTACCCATGGCCCCTATGTTTTGTTTTTTTCAAGTTAAAATATATTCAACTCACAATCACTTTTACAATCAATCTCATCTATGAAGTGTTGGGCAAACTTCTAGAAAGGATATCCCCCCCCCCCCACAATCATTAACACTTAATAGATTAGAAGCCCAGGCAATTTATAGAGCCAATTTGACTTACTCCATCATACTTACTGAAATCAACAAATCACTTATTAATATATTATGATGTCTAAATTAAGCCACTGGTTTCACAAGACTCACACATAATCTGCTAAGTCCCTGTAACCGTAAAAAGGTTGCTCCAAGCAGCATGATACCTCTTGAAAGATCCTTAATTTTCTCTCTTTCCATGCCATAAGAAAAGGTTATGGTCGATTCCCAAATAATTGTCCTGTTACTTTAAATGGAAAATTCTCCACAAACTCATCTAATGCATGTGATGTGGGCGATACCACAAACCATCACACTTAGAATCAATGGTAAACCTTATGAGCTTAGCATAAGGGGCATTGGTACTTTTGTGTGTCATGTAAGCCATTGTTATCTTCAAGCATCATTGTCCATCTTCAGGACTCAAAACCGTGCTTTAACAGCACAAGAGACATTGCATTTAAGAGGTTTTGTTAAAAGTAATTTCTTATAATCATATTTACCTTGATACAGAACACAACCATTAAGGAGCCATAAGGCCCATAACTATGAGTTTGCTAGTGTTTTCTTTGGGTCATTAATCTTCATAACTTTTGGGGATGTATGGTGATTTCCTAAATTATTAGTCTGCTAGTAATTCTTTGTGTCATTTTCTAACGAGTGGAATTACTGTGTAGGTTATGTTTATCTGCAATCATTGCCCATTTGTCATACATTTGAAAAAGGATATTGTGAAGCTTTCAAAATTTTACATGAAGGTACAGGAATTGGCAGGATTATTCTGTAACAATTTCCTTATCTTGGTTGGATTAATGAGCTCATGAGAACCTTATTCTGCAGAAGGGACTTGCTGTTGTTGCAATATCTTCCAACTCTGTTGTTACTCATCCACAGGTTCATGCTTCAACTGAATCCTAAATTAAAGATTAAAGGTTTGAAGACGCAAAGCGTATGACTATATCCATCACATGACTTCACAGGATGGACCAGAATTTATGGCAGAAGAAGCCAAATTCTATAGTTATCCATTTCCTTATTTATATGACAAGGTAAGCTACTAACTTTTGTGCTGCAAAATTTTCAATCAAAGATTAATAATATTTGAGTTAGATTGCTATTAGTTAACTGGTTTCTTATATTAGATGTGCCTAAACCTTTGGGGTATTAGAAAGTGAGAAAGGAAAACTGCATTTTTGAAGCTTCAATTCCTAAACCTTAGTGCCTTATCTGATTCTTCACATCTTCCCTCTTCTTGTCTAATTGTTGCTTCCTGGGGGCAGGGTAGATTCAGCGGAGGAGTGAATAATGGTCAATGGTTTTATATTGAAAAAAATTTGGTAATATCTGTACACATTGAAAAATTTCCATTGAGGTGCAGATGCCAAGAAAAATAGTGTAAAGCATAATCATTTATATCTATTTTGGAAAGTTAACAATTTTTTTGTAGTTATCATCTATATAAATAATTTAAGATGTTCTCAGCTGATATAATGTATGAACTACTGATGAGTGATGGGTAAGTGGTTAAGTTTGGTCAAAATTTTCTGAGAATTAAAACGATGTAATAGCTGTTTGATACTTAGGACACCCCATAGTAAGACATAACGAACATCATGCTAAGTTTGTGAATCGTATATTATGATGTCGATGTTACTTAAGTGAATCTAAAATCTAAGATTTATGGTACTTTTATGGAATTATTGAAAAAAATAAGGACACTTAAATTTCAACGCCATATGTCATAATATCAAGGTACGTAAATGGAAATTTTCTATGCAATTGCAGCGAAGAGAAAGTGAGCGATTCTATGGTCACTTGGTCAGGCTATAAAGCTTTTAGAAGTTCATATTTCTGAGGTTTGATATATTGAGAGCCATAATTATGACCACGATTTCACTTCACAAAAGGTAGTTCAAAGCTACAATCAAGAGAAGAATTTGCTTCATTTTCAGTGGAGTAATAGGATGTGTTGTTGTGCTGGGCCTGGTAGCCACAACAAATCGAAAAAAAGGAGTGCAGAGTTGTCTCATGGCCGGGGAAGAGGGGCCAGATTTATGTCTTCGTGGTGTTTGACAGGTTCTAGAAAGAAATAGGATTTTATGTTCATGGTGTTTTACAGCAGGTTCTGGGAAAGGTGAGATTGGGCAGAGTCTTTGTGGTTGTGGTAGCATGCTAGCATGGAGAAATAGGAGGGAACCAAGGAGGAAGGAGAGCTGGTGATGAGGTGAGAGAAAGTCTTTTACTTTTACCTGGTTGTCAAGTTATAGGTCACTAAGACCAATTTGAGAGATAATAATTAATCTTGGAATTAACTAGAAATAACTCAAACTTGGAATTATTATGGGAAGATAGTCCAAAACTTGGGATTATATTGCCAAATTCTTATTTGATAATAGAGAGAAAAACACGGTTTGCTTTTAAAATAAGATTCTCTTATATAATAGTTTTTAAACCACCTTACAAATTTATAGGAGGAAATTCATTCAGTGTACTCGACAGTGGATTCAAAGTGTAAATCACAGCATAAGGTGTTATTTATCGATGTTAGTATGGCTAATTTGGATGAAGCTAGTGTGGTGTATAGATGTATTTTTTTGACCACTTTGAAGTCTAGGGTCTTTGTTTCTGAATATATTCATGTTTCTGTACTTATGCTGATTCTTATGATCCTTAGAGTGTTACTCCGTCCATTTCAGAAAATTGGTTACTGTTCACAATCCAAGAAAATGATTGGAATATAAGAGAGATTAATGGAACCTTGAAAGAAACCCCCCCCCCCCCCCAAAAAAAAAAAAAAAAAAAAAAAAAACTCGACAGTGGATTCAAAGTGTAAAGATATGTGAAAAAGGAAATGTTTTTGGCTACATATCTCAATATATAAAAGAACTAAAAAGAAAACTATATGAAAAAAGAAACCATTAATCCAAAACAGATGGAGTATTTAGTTGACTAGGTATATATCTAACACAAATACTCCATGGTAAGGTTGCACTCAGAGTGATACAGGGCCTACAGGCTTTGCATCTCTTTTTTTCTTTCATCTTCCATTATTTAGCCTTGTGTGAAAGGCTTTTAGTTTTATGTGACTTTTCCAATAATCCAATCTACATTGTATTATAAAGATGTGAAGATCCATTGTAACTTTTTCCACTGAACTGCATATTTTTTAACAATATATATTTCATTATTTAATATCTTACTATTCTTGTGGTTTTATTCTGTATATAAGAATTATGTACAGCTCAAATTTTGAATAGCCAGTGAATTTCAGGCAATAATCAATGACCTTTATAGCATCAATTATCTATGTGCACTCTTCTATATTGCTACTTTTCTGAGTCAAAAAAATTATTTCTTATGTAAATAATAATTCTCTGCAGTCTCAAGATGTTGCACATGATTTTGGAGCAGTTTGCACACCGGAGTTTTTCTTGTTTAAAAAGGTTGGTTATTCATGAGTGTTTAAGTTTATTGGGATAAGCTGATATGCTTTGTTCAAATAACTTGTGGATCGCCAGCTGCAGTGCTGCACACATGCATTGACTGAACTATGTTTTTTTGTCATATATTATAATATTATACTATTACTTCCCAACTAGATGAGTAATTGATTTTGGGACAGGAGGGACGGAGGCCATTTGAGCTTGTGTACCATGGACAGTTTGATGACTCCAGACCAAGCAATAATGTGCCCATTACTGGGAGGTTAGAACTTTGTGGCTCTTGACTTCGTGCTAAATATTGGCTCTTATCTATTTGAATTTGCCCTCAAAATTCAAAGGTTTTTCCTTAGGGACTTGAGTATGGCAATTGACTCTGTTCTCAGCGGTCAACCTGTTAGTGTTCATCAAAAACCCAGGTGTTTACTTCTTCTAGAATCATTTATCACACTTGTATAGTTGTATTTCTATTTCAAAGTTTTATATTAGTCAATGTCCTTTTTAAACAACAGCAGTGATTTCTTTTTGCAGTGTTGGATGTAGCATTAAGTGGCACCCCAAGGTGAAGCAATAATTTGACCGGCCTTTAACTCTCTAAGTCTTGGAGATGATAGATTACAACCAACTTTTTCTTTCAGGTTGGTCAATCTAAGATTTGATGAGCCATAATCCTTCATGGTGTGGCAATATATTTTTACTGTTTGTTGTATCATTGTATTATAGTGATGGTTGGCAAGTGATCAAAAATTTTGTTGGCTTGTCCATATGGATTGTATTGATAAATGATGTTAAATATAATGTCTCTGAAAGCATGTCTTATTAGTTCACCGCCTCTTAATATGTTTGAAGTCTTAGAACACTAAGTCTTTGTATAACACGGTCTCATAATAACTTATTATGAGATAAGGGTGACTTTTGTCTTTTTCTGAATTTGAATACACGGTCTTTGTATGGCACAGTTTTAAGGTTCTAACCAAGTAGCCAGTACTGACTTAGTGACTTACATCATCTGAGGCATTGTCTATTACTCTATTGTATTAGTTGCCTTACGAAATCCAGATAAGGAAAGCACATCAAATGTTCATAGAATGTCTTTTGAATTTATATTCGAGGATTGCCTTCATTGAGGTATCTTGTGTCCATGCCGCCTAACTCTTAACTCTTAAAAAGTAAAGGAGAACTCCCTACTTGTGGTGTACTATTTGAGTCCTAGGGCATCAAATTTCACCTCAATGTGGGATTATTCTGCTTCCACCAAATTCTTCTTAGATATATCTGGTCTTTTTCTTAACATGTATTCTCTTGCTTCCTTTCAATGTACTTGCACCATCTTGAAATGTCAGCTATTGACTTCTCATATCCTATCACAAATAGAGGTTACAATTACCTTTGTTCAATGACTTTTTCATATGATTCTCTCCTTGTAACATCCAACAGAGCATTACTATGTCTGGAACTGATTCCTTGGGCATTGATGATCATAACTTTGCCAGCTCAAATAAGACAGTGATGCATTAATTTTATTGTTTGATGTAATAAGATCAGACTGATGATTCACAGGTTACCCCAAAATTGTGTGCCTTTCTTGAATGGTTAAGGGCAATTTTTGACATTTGATATATCTTAATTATTTTGCTTCAACTTAGATATTGCTAGTGAATGTGCTCATAGCCCACAGTAAACCAGCTTGGGAAAAATCCATTGCTTAGCTAGTTTGTTGAATGAGTTCCTGTATGTAGGCTACCTCTGGTGCAAAATGAGTGGTTCAAGGTTAAAGGTCTTTTTTCATGGATTTGAGGGGCTCAAGACCAGCTCAGGATTTTACCAGTTTCTACTTTCTAGAACAGGTTTATATAAACATATTAAAAACAAATTCTTGACTAAACTAGCCGTAACCGGACCAGATAAGTGTGACCCGGAAGCTGTCTATTTCTAATTAATGGGTGCAGCATGGTGCCTTAACTGCCAATGACCAGTCTTGTACCCGGAAGTTGTTTATTTCTAATTAACCGTCAACGTACCCCTTGCCAAAAACAGTGCAGCGTGGTGCCTTAACTGCCAATGACCAGTCTTGTCTCTGCCCACAGGTACCTCTATTCTATCAACAACTTATATATTTATATATAGGCTAGTGCTCTTCATTGGGTTCCCACCCTGGCATAGTGACAGTTTAAGATATATATACCCTGCATGTGAAGAGAGTTCTCCATTAAACACGTGATAATGCTTATAGTGACATGGTTAATTTGACTGCTTAAACCTTTTTCTGGTTTACATATGAGATTCAATGGTTCTTCATGGTTCATCTTCAAAAACTGCTCTAGTAATCCAGTACTATGATATTAAAGTACTTGGCTTCTCCTGTAATTTCAGTGCAGCTTTTTGTCTTGAACTCCGTTAAATTTTGTTAACTGACTTTATAATGCCTTGGCAATGTGATTGCACTCTATGACTTAACACCCCATTATGCCAGAGTTATATTGTTGTTTGATATGAAGAACGTTTCAATTCAGTGTTGTGGCAGAAGTGCAGCACATATATTTTATGGACTTGCTAGAATTTATTTTTCTATGGAATACCTTTTTCCAATACCAGCAATAGGAGTAAGGCTTGAATTCTCCATTAACTCTATTCCATTTTGAGAAAGAAACTTAGTAGGTCATTTCCCCTTTACTTGGTTTTTTAGGAACCTTATGAGAACTTCTAAATTAGATTATAAGTTACTGTTTAAGGGCGTAACCTTAGAAATAGGTATCGAGAAGCTGCACTAGCTTGGTGCTTTATGGGAGTTTCTCACTTTCTGTTTTCTGAGTGTATCCCTTTACAAATGGTCCTAGAAGTAGAAGCTAGTGAAGTACTGCCCTGAGACTTTCTTGATGGTGGGAGAGTTGTAATTGATTAAGAAACTAAGCTGGATACGGTAATATCAGAAGAGATTTCCTTGATGATGGGGATGTGGGATTTCTTGCTCTGGTAAATATTTTGATGATGTTTATCTTTGTTTAGATCATTTATATCAACAACAGGCAGCAGGACTACGCAAAGTTGATGTTTATCACATGGAGGTGCCTGGGATGATGTATGACCTGTGGGTAAAATGATATGGATGTGATCGGTATGAGATACTGACTCGATGGGCATATCTGTAAAGATGTTAGCTAAATGACATTGTCACTTGATTTAATGATTGTGATGCCATCATACATTTTATTCACATGTACTCTCAACCATATGAGAATAGTATTGACTAAGTAGTGTAGTTATTTAGGATATTAATGGCTCTCATCACAAGTTTGCATGTTAGTTCATGTTGCTAACTTGTTTAATTTTCGGTCACTTATACCGAACTGTGGTCTATTTGGGTTCCATGAGTCTAGAATGGTATACAGTACAGTTTGCCCTTGTTTAGAATATGTGGATATTGTAAACAAATCTATTTAGTACTTACTACTTATATTGATCAGAGTGCAACTAACGTGTGGTTTAGAGATATGGGAATTTTGAAATGCTCTGTTTTGTTTTTTAAGGAGAACAAGGAATAAGAAAAAATGGAAGTATATTTAAACATGAATAATAATTATTAATACAAGTACCATCTGTAAGTCTGTAACTGAATCAATGATATTATGCATATTAGGAATCTTTGTAACTCTGACTTATACAAGTATGTTGATTTTATTGTCTTTCATTGTATAGGTATTCTATATACCAATATTCTCTATTGTGTAAATATTTCATACAGTATTACAAGAGTGGGAAGACCTCCCGTAGGCCATAGCCAAGGAAAAAAAAAATTGTTAATGGCTTAGCTTAGACCGGTTTTCTCTATATACTCTCAGTGATGAAATCTTCTGTTTGTAATTCTAAGCAGTTTGAGCCACTTGAGCCAGGAAGTGAATTCTGATAGCAAAAATTCTTTTTCCCGTAGACTGTCAAGGTGCAGAAAATGCTTCAAGTCCTGCAGTATCGAAGTAACTCCAGTTATCACTGGAGAATAGATCTGCTGATGTCTGTGATTCATGAGCAGGTGGCAATGATGAATCAAATTCCTGCATCTGAGCTATCGGCTGCCATGTGAAGCCGGAGAAATCAGAGTCTTCTGACCAGAAAACATCTTCTATAATGTCGTCGAAAGATGCCAAATCAGGGTTGATGAAACCCTGATTCACCTCATCTACTTGAAGCTGTCTGTGATCAGATGGTACAAGATCAAGAAAATCATCTGACAACTTCTGATACTCTAACCCATTTTCCAGCCCGCAGGAGCTGGATATTGGGGAACCATAAGAAGCTTCAGAAGATGTGTTTGTTGTTGCCTCGTTCATTTCCTCATTGACATTTTCTTGCCCAGGATTTAAAAACTTAGCAAAAACTGCGGCCATGTCAATGTCAGGACAACCCGACTCTGAACAAGAAGAAGACGAGTTAGATGATGGATTATTATCAGAACGAAGACCCGTTAAACCACTCGAAAAGCCTTTAGTAGATCTCGAACGACGGCTCTTACGACATCCACCGCCAACAGGGACATTTCTAAGAGACCCACCCCTAGTCCAATATCTCCTACACCCCTTGCAGAAGAATCTTGGCTGGGACAAGCTGTAGTTATTGTAGTAACAAAACTTTGTGTTTGATGAAGCACAGCGCGGACAGTTAGGAGCAGGGTTGATACTGACCCTCCATCTACTGTCCGACGTCATAGGCAATGGCCGAGGTGGTAGAGTTTGAAAAAGATGGTCATTCGGGATACTCATCATAGATGAAGTAGGTGATTCCAAGTGACTGATGAGTAAGCAATACAATACGATTTAGCTCGAGAGGACGAGAGAAAGATGGATAGAGAGGAGAGGGGTGAGGGTAGGATGGAGGACAGAGAAAATGTGAGTATATATAAGGAAAGGAGAAAGAGTGAGAGAGCAAGTGCAAATGTGCATGTGTGTGGACTTAGAAATGTGGGGCTGGAAGTTAACGTGGGCGGTGGCTCACTTCGGGCGAGCCGTCAGCACTAAGAAACTGAAACACGGGGGGAAGTTAATTATGATATGATATCATGTGATCCAATTAATTTTTTAGTTTTCATGCTAATCATCAAAGACTGTATCTATTGGTCCAACTTCATTATAGCCGTATCCATCGATTTCTCTTAAAATGTACACTTAATTATGGGGGTACGTGGCGGTATTTTATTGGGGGGCTCACTCCCCCAAAAAATCTGTTTTTTAAGTCAAAGCCTCTTAGTTGTTAATTTAGTTAATTTTACTCCTAAGTCAAGAAGTTGAAGTATTGTGGTGGGGTTTTAGTGAATAGTGATTCATCTTGTCAAATTTCAAGTTAAAATCAAGCATAAAACCTCCAAAATTGTCAAATTTGAGCTTGGGAAGTTTTGGTTGTTTACGGGTTCAAAATTAAATCAGATTGGTATGGGCCAGCTCATAAACCAAAATATTTAAGATTTGGTAATGACATTTGAAATTACAAATAATAGCATTATGATTGTAGATCCTTCTGTAATGAAATCTGTAGGTTGATTTATTTTTAGGATTGAATCAAACCTAAAACTTCCCAAGTTGTCGAGTACTATTGCCAACATTCTTTAATATTATTCATTTTATGTAGATATATTACATTAGGTGTTTTTTTATATTGACAAAGTGACAAATTGAAAAAGTTGGAATATGATATGAAACACCAAATAGGGTAAAGGATCTCCAAAATTTATGTTGAATGATACAGGTTTGGTAAAAGAAAGATATGTACTATATTGTTGAGAAAAACACAAATATGATTGAGGTTCACATGTATATAAGTTTGTAACCGGTTAATGCAATTTACCAAGTACAATGATATATATGTAGTACAATAATGTGTATTATTATATTTCATAAATTTTGCTATATAAGAAGTTCAGGTATTGTGAACAATGGAAGTAAGAATTAATAAAAATTTCCATCATATTGCTTGCTTTATATCCCTTCACTAATAATTCCTATACTATCGGTAAAACTTTAACACGTTATCAGCACCAATTCCTAGTCAGGTATATTTATACCTACTTCTCAAAATTATAACAAATAAATACTATCTACTTCTAAATATTTTGAGGAGTATGCTCTATAGTTGCCCATATTTTGGGATCCTCTATACCAGAAACTCAAACATTTACTGTATCAAAACAACGGTGGAGAAATTCTCTTACTTATGAATTCATTACTTTCTCCCTTGTTTTATTCATGTTGATGTTTTTTATTTGATTGCCTTTTTATACTTATTATTTTTCTTTCTATTACGTACTTTTTGTGGTTCTTTCCGTTTTCGAACCCATGATATTTTATAGATATTAGGGAGCTCGGACCACTATGACTTGCATTCCCAGTGTGATAACCTTTTACAATTATAAATACTTATATTTAGACCATAATTTTGCTAGTACATTAGACTATTATATGATATTTTTACAGTTGTACAAAATAGTAACGGATAAACCTACCTCTATAAAAGACAGATTTTCCCCCGATTTCACCACAAATCCCTTATCCTTTCCCATTTTTTTTATCCAAAAATCACCCAAAATTTTTCACCCCCTTCTTCTCCGATATGTTCCCCAACGACGGCACCTAAAACACCCATACCTTCACTTTTGAGGAAGATTTAAGGAAGATAAAACAATATTTTCTTCTAATTATGGCGCTTGTAGTCCCATTAGTAGCAATATTAATTTTTGTCATAATGTACAAGTGAAGTTTGTTTATTTTGTCGTTTCAATAGATTAAAAGCATGTTTTTGTTTTATTATGTTGTTTTGTTGTTATTAATCATCATTGTATAATATTACTGTCATTATTATACTTATTGTTACTACATACTGTTATTGTTGTTGTTGTTGCTGTTTTTGTGACTAACAGGATTTATTTTTGCCTAATCATATAAACTCACAATAATAAACCAAGGGGGAGAAAAGAACTATATTATTTATGGTTTATTATTGTTAAATTTAATTATCACGTGTTTTATTAACCTAACTATAAATATGGAAGAATTAAACATATGTGTTGTACATATGATTTATTATGATAAACTAATTATCATGTTATTTGTTGTAGCTAAAATGGGAGATCTTATGAAAAGACAGTTCAGCATCTTAGATTTATCTGGAAAGAAATTTCTGGAATGGAAAGTGGATGCAATGATGAATTTGAAAGCTCAAGGCTTGGAGCACACTATTAAAGAAAATAAAAGTCCCTCTGGTCAAACAACTGATACTACTACTTCTGCAATGACGGTTATAAAACCTGTAACTGAACAAGAAAAGGCAAAAGCCTTAGTGTTGTTAAGGCATCATTTACATGAAGGCCTTTAAACCGAGTACATGATGGTTGAAGATCTCAAAGAATTATGGGATTGCCTTAATGAAAGATTTGGACACCATAAAAGGGTTCCTAAGGCATTATTTGACTGGACAAATTTACGGTTTCAGGATTTCAAATCTGTAATTGATTACAATTCAACCATACATGAGATAGTATCTATATTGAGATATTGTGATCATCCAGTCACCGATGAACAGATGATTAAAAAAACACTCACTACATTTCATGTAAGCAACATACTTTTGCAAGAACAATATCGTGAAAGAGGTTTCAAAAGGTTTAATGAATTAATGAGTGTATTGCTTGTTGCGGAACAAAATAGTGATCTTTTGTTGAAAAATCATAATCTTAGACCAACTGGGTCTTTGGCCACTCATCATGAGACAAATGCAACAAGTTCTTATCCACTCGAGGCAAATCCTACACGAAGAGGTGGACGTGGAAATTACAATGGCGTGGAAATTATCGCGGACGAGGCTGAGGACATGGTAGAAATAATTTTCAAAGAAACAGGTAAATTCAAAACTTCTGAAAAAACAGAAGGGACAGTCATCTGGAAGCCACAAACAAACTCCTTCAAAAGAAAAGACACATGTTACAGATGTGGCATGACAGGGCATTGGGGACGTACTTGTCGTACGGCCAAACATTTGGTAGACCTTTACCAGGCTTCTGTAAAAGGCAAAGACAAAAATGCAAAAGCAAATTATGTTAATGAAGAAAATGCTCCATGTCCTACCCTTGATGTGTCCGATTATTTCATGGACAATGCTGAAATTGGAAATGATTTCATCTTTGGAGAAAACAACAATGTTTAGATAACCCATCTACTAATGTAATATATACTATGTTTTAATGTATTTTCTGTTATGTACTGTATTTTAAATGTCTAGTCATATATTTTTAATTTCTATCATCAATAAAAGTTTGTATGATATTATTCTAAACTAATCTCATATTTATTTTATGAAGATATGGATATGCCTGAAGTAGGTTCCGAATAACAATGTCTTTTGGACAGTGGAACAACACACACTATCTTGAAGGATAGAAAAAAAATTTCACAACTAAAGTTGTTTCAGGCAAATGTAAACACTATTTTTGGGTCAGCATAATTAATTGAAGGATCTGGAAAGGCTTGTATAATGCTTCCAAATGGGACAAAATTGATAATCAATAATGCTTTATACTCGAGTAAATCTTGAAGAAATCTCATAAGCTTTAAAGATGTACGCCAAATTGACTATCATTTAGAAACAATGACAACAAATGAAAAGGAGTATATATGCCTCACGGCAGAAAAACATGGCAAGAAACATATTTATGAGAAATTGCCAGCATATTCTTCGGGGTTATATCATATAAACATACGGCCGGTGGAAATCAATATGATATCTAACCAGAAGTTAGATGACAAACATTTGATTATATTATGGCATGATCGTTTGGGACATCCAACAACTGGGATGATGCAAAGAATAATAGCAAATTCAATTGGACATTCAATAAGAAATGTCAAAATTCCTCGATCAGATGAATTAACATGCTCTACATGTTCACTCGATAAATTAATAATATGGCCATCTATGAACAAAATTGCTACTGGATCCCCAAAATTCTTGGAAAGAATTCAGGGAGATATTTGTGGGTCAATTAATCCGGCATGTGGATCATTTCGATATTTCATGGTTTTAATTTATGCTTCTACACGATGGTCACATGCCAGTCTGCTTTCAAGTAGAAATGTTGCCTTTGCAAAATTACTTGCCAAATTATCAAATTAAGAGCACAATTCCCAGATCATACAATAAAGAAAATAAGACTCGACAATGCTAGGGAATTTACATCCCAAACATTTAATGATTATTGCATGTCAATTGGAATTGATGTTGAACACCCAGTAGCTCATGTTCATACACAAAATGGTCTAGCTGAATCACTAATTAAGAGATTACAATTGATTGCAAGACCACTATTAATGAGGTCAAAATTGCCTTCATCTGCTTGGGGACATGCTATAATACATGTAACAACACTAATTAAATTGAGACCTACAACTTATCATAAATTCTCACCACTACAACTTGTTTGTGATCGAGAACCAAGTATCTCACATCCAAAAATCTTTGGTTGTGCTGTATATGTTCCCATTGCTCCACCTCAACGAACAAAAATGGGTCCACAAAGAAGGCTAGGAATTTATGTCGGGTTTGAATCCCCCTTTATAATTATATATCTTGAACCATTGACTGGTGACTTATATACGGCTAGATTTGCCGACTATCACTTTAATGAAGCAGTATTCCCAGCCTTAGGGGGAGAGAAAGTGGACCCACGCAAGAAAGAAATAGAACTTATTTGGAATGCAATACAATTGTTGATGTTAGACCCACGAACAAATATGTGTGAACAAGAAGTCAAGAAAATCATTTACAAAGTGTTGCAAATCAATTGCCTGATGCATTTGTAGACACAAAGAAGGTGACAAAATCACATATACCAGCAGAAAATGCCCTTGTACGTATTGAAATCCCAACTGATAATAAGGCCATTGAAAATGAATCTCAAGCACGTAGAAAGCGTGGGAGACCACTTGGTTCAAAAGATTCTAAACCAAGGAAATTGAAAAGATTGGATGGAATAGAAAATGAGACTAATGATGTTCCCCCGTCAGAAGGTTAAGAAAGACCAAATGTGGATGAAAGTAAAGAAAATGATGATACTCCAAAAGGGGACGAACAAGAAGACAACCCTACGGGGAATGAACAAGATGTTCAAAACATCAATAACAATGAAATTTCAATGAATTACGTCTCTACCAAAACTCAGTGGAATAGGAAAGATGTTATCGTGGATGAAATATTTGCAAATTCCATCGCAATC